TCTCGTAAATATTCTTTATATGTGTTCGCTTGAATGGTTTATCAGGCACTCTAAATGTTGTGAAATCTTCCACAGATCTATAAAATACTGCTGGCCAGTTCTGGAGGGTTTTTATTAATGTTCCCAAATTTGTTCAAGGGTTTCAGAGTTTGGACTGGACAGCGTCAGAATGGGTTTCTTTGGTAGTACCATGGTTTCAAGAGTGAAAGTACCAGACAGTAGCTCAAACAGTTTTCAGGGTATTTCAGCACTTCACAAATGCCCTATAATCACTTGAGTTTAACCTGACACTGTAGCTCGAATTCAGTCCTCCAAATGTCCATCAGTAAGGCCTGAACCAAATAATGTTGAACCAAAAAGACAGGCTGCTGTGCACATATGAATGTTTTTCTCTGGGTAAACAAGTTTTCTAAAGTCTGTTGCCCCCTGATGGGCTTTGAGGTTAATGTCAGTTTGCAGAGTGAGAGTCTCCATCTCAAGCTCACTAGAAACCAGGTTAAATATGCATCACTTAGTTTCTCAGAAATGTGTAAAATGTCCACTTGTATGAAAGGATTTGCAGTGAAGGACATGCATGGTTCCAGCTTATCAAAGTCATTGAATCTGTCCTCAGATATTTGTCCAAGCCTGTTCAAGAGTTCAAAGTACTGATGTAATGCTCTGTCAAAGATATCAGATGCAGAAGCATCGACTGCATGGATGGAAAGTGATGCCATTTCTTCCTCTGTAAATACGGCTGATTTTGGCTTTGAATGCTTTTACAGCACTGATCATGTCACTGAATGTCTTACGTTTGCCTTGCAGTTCACAGTTCACAGTTTCCCAGTGATGTGAGTTAGGAAGGAGAGATCCAGTAGTCATCAGTTGTTACCAGCTTTTCAAATGGCATGAGTGCGGACATTATTTCATTTACACTCTTGTGATCTTTAAACAGAGAGTTTGCTATCACAGTCATTGCTCCATTGACATCCCAGAATGTTTTTTTGTGTGTTTCGTCAAAAAATTAGCAACTCAAAATGAAGCTTCGGTTGTAGCTTGTGACTTTTTTTTTGCTTCCTGCTAAATTGGTCTTTTCTCAGTAATGCACCCGGTGGATAACGGCCGCTGAAGGTCTCCTGGGTTGTGCTGAAATGTCTCTCCACATTGTGTCTCTTGGCTACCGCTCCACAGATGAGGCGTACAGCTTGATCTTTGACATTTGTGAAGAGGAATTCTGTCTCCCACTCCTCCTTAAAGTCTTTTTCGTTTTAGCATGACCTGGTGTATTATCATTGTAGCAATGTTCAGGGAAGAAGGAGGCGGGAACCGGCGGACAATCAAATTAAAACTTTATTTAAATGAAATAAACACAATACCTGCCAGCAGTCCCTCACGGAACTGCTGGCTACCCAAAATAAAATATAACTACCTGCCAGCAGCCCCTCACGGACGACTGCTGGCTACCAAAATAAAATAAAATAAAACACAAACAAAAGCAGGCCTGTTCCTCTCTCGATCATCCACTCCGTCGCTCCTCCTTTATGCTTCCGCTCCTCCGTGAGAGATGCGAGACCGGTGTGCTTCCCAGGTGCTGCTCATTAGCAATCGCACCACCGGCCTCGCGACGTTCTCTCACGTCCCTCGGCCGTCCTGCTCACCACAATCATCAATGATTCATTTTTGTTGTTGTTGTTGTTATAGTTGAATTCACCATATTTATGCCATCAGACCGCCACAAACTCACAGAATCGCCTACAAGAAGCGTAGCATACCTCAACGTACATTGATACACACAAACTTCTAAATATTTAAAGTCCCCCTGTGGTGAAAATCCAGCTTTTAATGTTGTTTATATGTCTATGTGGTGTTTTTAATATGCTTTAAGTCAAACCATGTGTAAATTCATAAGTCGACAGCATTGCTGAGTATTTTCTCCTTAAAACTGCAGTGAACCAAAGACAGTCTCAAAAACACGGCTTGAAACCAATCTGGGGTGCGTTTCCTGAAAGCATCGTTAGCCAACCAAGGTTCTCAAGCTCCGTCGTTATCAGCAGTTCAACGAGTCTGTTTCCCGAAAATATAGTTCAACAAACATTCGCAAACAGCATTGCAAAGTTGTGTGTTTGGAACGACAGCTCTGCGGTTAGAAGAAGAGTTTCTTGTTTGCATGACATGTGGACTTAATAAATCCTGATCTTGAGCAAAATAAGCAAGCTGACATACAGTACAATCTATATCTTTGATTTAGAATACATACAAATGTAATTTATGTCTTTTAGTTTGTCAAGAGATTTAAAGCACTGTTTTTGATGAGCCTATGATTGAATCTGGAGATAAGGCAAAATAATTGAGAAACATTTGAAATAGCCCTCAGATGCCATATCCGTAATTTATACCAAAACATCTAGCATTAATTCAGTCTCAAACAGACTCATTAAAAGTAATTATTAGTCCACCACATGCGTGACATCATTAAGCAACGCGGTTGAACGACCAATTTGCAACTATATAGTTTTTCTGGAAACAGTCGTGACTAGCTAGTGGATTTCTCCAACGATGCATCACACTATAGTAGTGAAGCACGAGTTACGGAAACACCCCTGTTCAACATGTGATCGTCAACGAGTGGATCTCTGAGCTGATGTGAGTGAGTGGAGGCGGGGCTCATTTGCATAATCATAGAACCGCGAATACTAAATGAGGCAAGGGTGTCGAGTTACATTCACGGTATTTTAAGGCATGGATAAATTTTTTCAAGGAAAAAACATTTAAATATGTCATTTTGGTGATCAGAGATGAGTTTTAAGGGATACAATTATAGACCAATTTTCAGTTAGTAAACATGGTGACATTTTTATGTGGGCGGAGCTTAGGTGGTGGCAGAACGATCCCTCTGGCCGCTTCTCTAACGTAAAGTCTGCAAGTTTTGTTAGCTTGTTTTTAACAATGACTGGAGAAAATCCGATTTTATCTTAATGTGCAAGGTCACTCACTGTCCAGGACCGCGATTGTTATTTGCAAAAGTTCATTTTAATCGGACAGAACCAGATTGGCCGACCCGTACACTCATTGAGGATCTGACAGGATTAACGTTAACGTTACCTCCGGTTGAGTGAACTGACTTCTACACCTACCTGATAGAGAAACGGAGGGCATGTAAATCTTTAGATGCCTATAACTATGTGCTGAATGGTCATGTACAAGACTTGTGTGTACGATCCGCAGTTCTGCCGAGCCAGCGCCGAGAAGACGACAATGTAAAGAGTGACATTGCGGTGCAATTTTAATGAGGTGAATATTTCTAGAAATAAAAAATTGCAGATAAAGCATATTAATTTTTCATTGATTCTTGCACCCAACAACACAACAAGATGACATTTAATAATAAGAAGAATAATTTAAGATCCTTATTTTGTAGCCGAATCTGTGCTGGTTTGTATTTGCCGCCTCCAGTTTTCCCTTTGTTCTGCCACCAGCTAGCGCCGTGACGTAACTGTGACGTCGGCTGAAAATTGGTCTATTGACTACAGGGGGACTTTAAAATGATTGTTTGCAGAAATTATGGTATCATCACATTTTTTTGACTTCCTTACGAACAGGTATCAATATACAAGCCAACACTTCTGTTGAAGCCAATCAGGCCTGATAATGTTTCAATGGAAAATACAATGTCCATTTTTATTCGGTTGAGCCAGTATATAATGGTCTATCGTCTAGCTAACTTTGCTAAATTAAATGATTGGTATTTGAATGTCTAATAAACATTTTATTCCACAAACCTCACAAACTTTGGCAAATCTGCATTTAGATCTTGTGAAGTGTTCATTTGTATTCAGTATAAATACGTTTGTAGAGTTCAGCTGTTACTGGACAAACTTTACATCCTTGATCTTAAATTATGCTGCATTACATTCATGTCATAATCCTGGTGTAATGATCATTTTGCATTACCTGGTCTTTATTTGAGCACAAATACTCACTGATCCTCTCCTTCTGTGGATGATTCTGAATCTGAATAAGAGAAATGACTGATATTACAGTGTGTTTAATCTTGGCCAGCCTCCTTTTTACTAAATCAACTTGGCATTATTTAATTCATGTAAAGAAGTGATGATTTTAAATAAGAAAAATGCAACTAAAATAGGTATTCTTATAAAGAGAACATCAATATAATAAAATAAGTTCAGATATAATTGTTCCCTCATTCCACAATCAGAGGCTTTTATTTTCACACATGTGGTTTGTTTCTCTACTTCTACTCACAGTTCCTGAAAGACTGAAGTGGACACAGACACAGCTTAACTGTAGTGTAATTTTAGCTTTGTTTGTTGGGAAAAGCATAAAAAGTTATATATATGCCTGAAACCCGTATTTCGTAGAAACTGTTATTGTGGTGTCTTTGTCTTTTCCTCAGATCGAGGCTGAAGTGTGTAACTCCCGCTAATCTCCAGCCAAGTTGTTCTTTCTGGACTATAAAAGCGTTTAGTAGATCTCAGCTATTTTGATGAAGGATTGTAAAATGCACAAAAATAAATGAGCTGCTTTATTATGTAGTAATTCTAGCGCTATATAAACTGTGTGTACGTAACCTGCTTACGTTGCCTCTGAGGGAGGAGAGCATGAGCGGCACAGAAGGCAAATCCCACGTGTCAGGAATAATTAGCATGACACTCGCCTGAGAGAGAGATTTAGCCGGGATGACGGCCGCTTACTCCAAGCCTGTTAGAGAGAGAGAGCGGGACTATCTCTCTCTCTCTCTCTCTCTCTCTCTGAAATAAGCAGTGGAATAAGCTTTGATTTGCGCTGTGTCATAGAAGGTCATTTGCTGTTGTGTTGTTGATTTCCATCTTGAATTTCCTCTGTTGTAATGCCAGAGGCTTCTCTGAGAAACGCTGGTATAAACACTGAAAACTACACACCCGTGCTTTTGAAACCATGTAGATCTCAGTAAAACAGAGCGCTGTTTTGTGGTCAGACTGCTGTGTGATAAACACGTGTGTGTGTGTGTGTGTGTGTTGCAGGCGGTGACCGGCAGGAGTTTCTCTGACAGGGACTTCAGAGCTGGACTCGACAACGGCATCTTACTTTGCGAGTGAGTAACTCTCTCAAACCACACACACACACATACATGCACGCACACACACTTAAAGGGGCAGTGTGCCCAAAAGGTTTCATTCTGTCATCATTTACTTACCTTTTCAGTTTTTTGCATGAAATGAGTGCGGACTGTACCTGTCCCCAAAATCACAACACACACCTTAAAACACCTTAAATGCAGTCCATACAATTTGTTGGGAATTTCTTTATCCAACTTCCCAGCTAACAGGGAACGTTCTGGCAAGGTTCTCTCAAAGTTATGAACAAATGCTCTTCAGTAACATTAATAACTCATTCAGGATTCAGTTTTCAGGTCTTTATTAATGTTCTCAATACATTAGCAAAAAAAATTTATCAAATCACTTTCTTGTCACAATGTTGTTTATGTATGGCGAAACTGTACACTTCAGAGTTCAGGGAACATTCAGAAATAGCGTTTTCATGACTTAAAAGTAAAGTTACAAAACGTTGTTAGGTTTATGTTTGCGTTTTCTGTGTTTTCTGTGTTCCCTAAGTTCCCGCTTGTCATAGTTAGCCGTTGTTTGATTGATTAACCCCACCTGTCTCTTGTTTTCTCCCTCAGTCAGCTTGTGTGTTTATAGTCCTCTCTTTGACTCATTCTTGGTCTGTTCTCGTGTCTGTATGGCGTGGTTGTATTTCTCCTGTGTTCCAGTGTGTAAAGTTGTCTGCTGTGATCCCGCCTCAACTGTTGCTGACAAGCCTTCTCCACATATTTGGAGACTGAACGGTCTTTAATGCTCATTTTTAAATGTGTCTCCTGGAGTTTGTCTTGTTCTTGCAGATGTGGTTTTCATCAGAACACATCTGTCCTGTCCTGAGAGCTGGATCCTCTGTCATCAGAGACACAGTACAGTAAACATGACTGTCTTCAGCTCTGACAGCTTTAATCACAACTAGTCTTAATCGTTCTGGACTTTAAACATGTTTAAGGCCTGTTCTGGAGTTGTTCCTTTGGTTTGAGATGGTTATTACAGTAGGTGTGGGATCTGATCCCTTCTGTATACCCACAGGAATACTCACTCCCACTTTATATTCGGTGTCTTTAACTACTATGTTGTTGTATTGTGAAACACTAGTGCTGGTATTGAGGTGGATACGGGATTATTATAATTTCACTCAGAAATGAAAATTCAGTGAAGGACATTGAGGTCTAATGATGTTTGACCCCAACGCAGAAGAAACCAGTCATACGGGTCTGGAATGAGTAAATGATGACAGATGTTTTTAAAATTTATGGTGCTGTCCTAAACTTATTTATGAGCATTAAATAGACGTAAATGTTAAAAATATAAGCTGTAAACCGTATGTAGACTGCATATAATCTGTTGAGATGTTGTTGAGATGTTTTGATGAGATGTTGTTGAGATGTTTTGATGAGATGTTGTTGAGATGTTTTGATGAGATGTTGTTGAGATGTTGTTGAGACGTTGTTGAGACGTTGTTGAGACGTTGATGAGACGTTGATGAGACGTTGATGAGACGTTGTTGAGACGTTGTTGAGACGTTGTTGAGACGTTGTTGAGACGTTGTTGAGACGTTGATGAGACGTTGTTGAGACGTTGTTGAGACGTTGTTGAGACGTTGTTGAGACGTTGTTGAGACGTTGATGAGACGTTGATGAGACGTTGATGAGTTTTCATCAGCGGCGGTTTCCATTAGACTAATTGTTAACAGCCGTGTTTGTGTTGGCAGTTTTAGCTCAACGCTTCTCTTCTGACTGCTTCTCATTACCAAACATGTACATACAGACAATCCCCCTTCCATAAACACACACGTTACCTGGCATTGTTCTGAATGCTGAAGATCTGCTCGCTCAGACAGGAAAGATCAGTCTGACTGACATGAAAAACAACAGTTAGACACTTCAGGACAGGCGGATCTGAAGCACAACTGGATCTAGCCTCAAGCTCATGGTGTTTTCTTGAGCTGTCAAGAACTCTTGTGAGGACAGCATCACACTTGCATTGTCTCACACATGAAAACAAGTAATAGTCATCTCAGCCTGTGAACAGCAGGACCTGCAGTGGAGAAAATGAGCTTCTCCAGCACAGAGACACACGGATAACATTCTGATATCATTTCTCGTAGAGCTTTGCATGTCCCCCACCGTATCCAGCAGATCTTTATTTGATGACACTAACAAGAGCTGATAAACAGATGTTTCCACACTAAAGCACACGCCATCATCTCTCATCCCCTAACACAGTCGGACCGTTTTCTAGATTTGATCGCGCTGCCAAAGCGATGCCGTTCACACAGATCCGTGAAAGCGACTGCAAACGCTGTGTTCTGCTGTCAGGCCAGTAGATGGCGGTGTCACCTGTAAAGAAACACTACATGCCTATAGACTGAACACACATGTGCATGTCATCACCGTTTTCACAAAGAGTTGTTTTATGCACGGAGACGGATGGATAACACGTTATGCACGGATAACGTCATCGCTTTCAAGAACTTGCACTCTGAAACAAGTTTTCAAAGGTTTTCATTTTCAGGATTTGTGCCTGATGAAGACCTGAGGGTCGAAACGTTGCTTTTAATAAATTCTTTTGGAGCAGTATTTTTCAGTGTGCGGACTTCACACTTCTTTATTTTGTTTAATTTTCAGGCCCTCATAATGCCGCTGTTGTGTAAATGACCGGCCAAACAACTATAAAGTTATCAGTTTTGAGTTGAAAACGGTGTTGTGTAAATGGCCTGTAAGCTTTTTTAGCAATGAAGAATTTTGAGGTCACAGTATCCGAATCTGAACACATTGGTCAAAAATAGACGTGTTTCCAGTCTTTTTTCAATATTACAACAGTAGCTTATTTTGTTCATTTTCAATAATACACAACAATAACAACATTCATCACGCTGACATCCTGGACTGTTTCAGTGTATTTCACTTTAAAATATAGTGTTTTACTAGAAAACTATTATTTAGTCTCAGTCTCAGACGTGACGTCAACGGACCACCGCCAAAACGGGAAACACTTCAGGTTTCCGCCTGGAAACAAAGCCGTCGTGATGCCAAACCCCCTCATGGAAGAAGAAAGCTGGTGGGTTTACAACTGACTAAACATGATGCTAAACAAAACGAACTGTGATTGGCTGCTTTACATGTCAGACGGTCCTTGGCCAATGAGAGCTGCTCTAGAATCCAGACCTTCTGCTGTCAGTCTGAAGACTAAAGGCCCGTTCACACCAAGCACGATAACTATAAAGATAACGATAAAGATAACTATATATGCGTCCACACCAACGACTGATAACTGTCTTTTTATTCTAGGCACGGGCGCGCCCGCGCTGGGGTTTCAAAGTAGACCTTTAAATTAGAATGGATTCTGATTGGCTGTCAGTGTTTTATCGTTCGACAGCTGAAAAAAAATCGTTCTGAAAGTGATCCCAACGATATCGTTCCTCATATCTTTATCGTTATAGTTGTGGTGTGAACTCTGTTATTCTTTTATATGGAGAACGATTTTTAGAATTATATCTTTATCGTTATCTTTATAGTTATCGTGCTTGGTGTGAACGGGCCTTAACACTTACTCAACTAGTTCATATGCACTTAGGTAATTGTTCATCATGATTGCTTTATGAGAAGTTACTGATGATTATTACACTTCACCTCTGATCTAGCTCTATGCTTCTATTATATTAGAAAACAATGAAACTGGATTTCGATGGACAACCGAAGAAGAAGTGTGTGTGGTGAAGGTTATTTCAGATAGATGAAAAACACTCTGGCCCAAATCCTCCTCAGGACATCAGGAAGTTTATGTCCTCTAGAGTCACACATGCGGTTTTGATTCTGACGGGCCGCTCTTCAGGGAGTGCGCTGCTGTTTTCAGGCCCAGGCTACTATATAAGCATGATGTATGATCTTCAGCATTAATGTGTGTCCTCAGCGTGACTTCTGTGTGTCTGGCCCGTGAAAGCCCTCATGTCTGATTCCTTTAAGACGCTCCAGGTGTTTCCTCAAACATTTATCCAGCGCGACACGAAAAACATACAAACTTCCTGAATATTTTACTAAAGAAAGCCGTTTATTTTGCTCTCCTTCCTGAAACTTGACAGCCATGTTACTGCACATTTACTGGTCTATCAGATCATGTTGCGTGTGTGTAGTCTTTAGTCCTTCAGGGTCTGTACACTGTTGAGTTTAGTGTGCTTGTCTTCAGTCAGAGCCCCTAAACACTTCTCAACACACTCAATCGCCCGGAAACCACAGACGCTAGTCCAACTGGTGCCGGCAGAAACTAGGCCAACAGACGGCTGACGGTCAGCTTGCGTTTCATGGCCTTTACTCTAACGAGAATAATATTCAAGGGTCACGTCATGACTTTGTGGCAGTGGTCTCCAGCATGGTGCCCGCGAGCTGCCCGCTAAGCACATTAGGCAAGGCAAGGCAAGGCAAGGCACATTAATAGCTCCAACTTTCCATTAGAGATCCACTGTAGATCAGGGCTCCAGACGGTGACTAAATGGTATCAGTTTGTGACCTTTTTTTTGGTTTTTGAATAAATCTTAAATACTTGTGATGGTGATTAAAAGTAAAGTAAAAGCGCACCACCATATTATAATCATAATAAATGAAATATTGTTGAGTATAACAAACAAGTAGTCCTCTAGATTACTGTATCCCTCGAGGACGCCCTCGCTCACAAAAGGATGGAGGATAATCACATTTACACCTTTTTTTTCTGCCTAACACTCGCTAAAGAAATCCACAAGAAAAGGAATTTGTTTGGAACTTTTAGTTTCTCTTTGGGATGTTATCAGTACCTGAAGAGCGCCTGGTGTGAGGAAGCCTGATCGGTGTGTTGCTTGTGAAAACCTCCACCTCTCTGAATTAATTTGTGCTAAATGTCTTAAGTAAAGTGTTTGTTAATTAATTGTTTTTAAATGATTTAATAAAGTGTTATAAATGTCTTTCTCTCAGACTGCTGAGCTCGATCAGGCCGGGTCTGGTGAAGAAGATAAACCGGCTGGCCACTCCTGTCGCTGCTCTGGTAAGGGTTTCTAGTTTCTGTCCTCTCTCATCTAATCATCTGTGATGTGTTCCCAAACCCCTCTAAAACGCACTGTTAATCAACAAGACCAAAGAAACAGTGCTTTTGACACTTGTTCTAGTTAACTCTAGGTAAAGACACACATTGATCATAATTTAAACAATTAATCCTGGGTATTCATAAACTGGCGCTAACGTTCTTATTTATTATATATGTCTATAAAGGCTCTAGCGTTTATAGAAGCATTTATCTTGTATTATATATGAACAATATCAAGTTCAGTTTATTTGTATAGCAGGACGACGGTTTCATATTGACGATAAGGTGTTTGAGGAGTTTCAGAGAGATGTGTGCAAAAGCGTCCCAGGACACAGAATGCAACGGTTCAGTGTGAGAAGGGCTTGCTTTGGGTCTCAGGTTAGAGATTTTGTCAATGAAAAATCACACAAAGCTTCCACATAAAGCATCAGATGCAGCAGACATTGTATTTACCGGAGGATTTACAACCGCGTTTATAACAGAGAATAAAACCTTTGGTCTAGAGTGATTTGCCATAATCAAGTCAGAAAAATATGTGGCTTTAGCCGACTTAACAGCATTCTGATAAGCCGATAAACTGTCTTTAAACAACTGCAATTAAATATGTAGCTTGTCCTTTTTCCATTTGCGCTCGGCCTTTCTACTAACTTGTCTAAGTCGTCCGATATCAGAGTTGAGCCACGGTTCAGATTTAGGAGTAGTTTCATTTAGGTCATTCAGCCAGGCAGAGTTTAATGGACAGAGATGTTGGTCGGCATCCAAGCCCGATAGCGGCGAATCCAACAGCAAATGTGAGCAGGATTCCATAAAGCACTCGTTAAACCTTGAGCCAACCTGAGAAGAATAGGACAATGTTATAGCTTCAGTAGTGGAATGAGAAAGGCAAGGAAGAGACGTAGAAAATAATATTGGCTTACGGTCCGAAAGCATAAAATCAGATACAACAATATCACTGATGGCAAACCCATGAGAGAGTACCAGGTCCAAAGTGAGACCCTGAAGGTGAGTAGAGTCATTTATCCACCGGACCCGGCTAAAAGACTCAATGAGGCGGAGGAACTCCTTTGATAAAGTGTTAGATGGACAGCAAAGTGGATATTAAAATCACACACCAATAAAAAAACGGTCTTAGTTTGTGGTAACATTACCAATAAATTTGGTGAATTGCTGTATGAATGTATAGTCAGTTGTAACCAATTTTTAAAAAAGGGGTTAAATCACCAAGCTTAGTGTAGGATTCAGCGATGAACATAAAATCCAGACTGTAAGAGGAAAACAAGTAATTTAGCGGGAAGGATCGAGCGTTGATCAGAGCCATTTTAGATGGAGAAATAACATCGGAGGAAAACGAAGCTCTTCTCAGTGACCGCAGATTTCCAGGAGTCACGCCGTTACGCCGTCGACCAAGGCCGATCCGGGGGACGCCATCCAGCGAGACAGGAGACGGGCGCGGGGGGATATATATACAACATATTATTATAATACACTATAAACGTACAAGCAGCACTCGTACCGGATACGTACAGTGAAATATAGCCAAATATGGAGTTATGAAAATTAATTTTCCCCTTAACCAAAATTGATTTGCTCTGGAACATGTAATGGATTAATAAGACCAAAGATTGCCTGTTTGAAATGCCACAAATGAATTATATTTCAAGTTTCACCACATAAGAGTCACTGAGATGAGCGGTTCTCTGTGGGAACGCCCGCTGACGGCCTGGAGCTCGCATCGGCCAAAGCGTCTCAACAGATTGTAAAATAGGCACTATGATTATATATCAGTCACGTATATGACGTCTAAATAACTACATTCTCGCATAAAAAAATGTTTAAAACTACATTTCGTGACACAACCACAGTATTTTTTTTTTATATGGTGGATTTGCTGGACCGCCACGACAGTCGCCGCAGGCGGAGTGATACAAGCGGTGAAACAGTTCCAGTTCTGATACTGGGAGAATATCACACTGCTGGAAAAGGCTCTCAGCCAATCAGATTCGAGAACCAGAAAGAACTGTTGTGTAAATAAATATATATTGCAGACTTCTATCAAGTCAAGTCTTCTCTACTATAAAGGTAAAAGTAAAGCCTTACTTCACTCCAACTGGTGCGTTTTCCATTTCCCCCTCCAAGGTTTTCCTGTGGCGGTGTGAAGTGTGTGTGAAGTGTGTGTGAAGATGAGGCGCTGGATTTGGTGTTGGTTGTTGAGTATCTAGCGGTGACGTTCTAACAGCACATCAGCGATGATAACGCGGGTGTAAGCGCTGTGTGAAAAGAAGAAATATATACAATTCTTTCCTATTATTTGTGGCACTGATCATGAGAAATGTGTTCCTGCCACTGACACACAAGATGCTGTTATCAGAACATTTTCACATCGGTCATCATTCATCATTCATCATTCATCATTCATCATTCATCATTCATCATTCATCATTCATCGTTCATCATTCAGGTCCACTGTGTGAAATCTCACGGTAAATCTGCCTGGAAACACGGCGTGAGCAACACTTTAGCTCCTGGTGGACTGGTGAAAGTGTTCACTGATTCAGCTGCTGTCACAGTACAACTGCAGTTTCAGCCATTGCTTGCATTATACATTTGACTTTTTTGAAAGAAATTAATACTTTTTTTCATCAAGGATGCATTAAATCGATCAAAAGTGACAGTAAAGACATTTATAATGTGTTACAAAAGATTATATTTTAAATAAATGCTGAAACTTTTGAACTTTCTAGTCATTAATGAATCCTGAAAAATAACATGTATGACGGTTTCCACATAAATCTGAAGCAGCAAAACTAAACACTGATAATAATCATACATGTTTCTTGAGCATCAGATCCTCATATTAGAGTGATTTCTGAAGGATCATGTGACACTGAAGACTGGAGTAATGATGCTGAAATTCAGCTTTGATCACAGGAATAAATTACACTTTACTGTATATTCACATAGAAAACAGCTGATTTACATTATAATAATATTTCACTGTTTTTACTGTATTTCTGATTAAATAAATGCAGCTCTGGTGAGCAGAAGAGACAGAAACATTCAAAATCTCCCCGACCCCAAGCGTTTGCTGGTTTGTGGAAATATTCTGCTGGTTTAATCGTTGCCTTTATGAAGTGGGCTGCTGATCATCAAACTATTACAGAACTATAACTATAGTTATATAGGAAATATGGTATACCATTTGTATTGCTGAGTATATAAAAAGAAAAGTAAATCATTGTGCTGTTAGGATGCAGTTCCTCAGCCTCTCAGACACACATCCGGCTGCACTTGATTACGATGTAAATGTTTCGGAAAACATTTTGAAACGTTTTCACAGAATCCCTGGGAAAATCACGTGATGTGTGTGTTTGAGATGATGAACGATCTCTCTGAATGTTCAGATACTCCAGCGTCAGTGTGGCGTTCGGGAGCGTTCACGTTTCCCTCGGCTTCTGCTGGGAATCTGGTGAATCTTCTGGAGTGGCTTCATGGCACAGGTTTGGTAGCTTGATGTTGCCCGAGCTTTACGGCCGTCGCCTGCATGCGTGTGCTTTCAGGGTCCAGCTGCAAGCGGATATTAGTCTAAATGTCAAACTCTATGTTGGGTTCAAATCACGCCGAGGCTTCAGGCTAATGAATGCACCTCTTGTTTTCTTTAAGGGTGTTCTTTCATTTTCGCCCTCCACCTCCTTTTGTCCTCGGACATCAGTGCCGAGTGCCGTGCGCTTCACCGAGTGAATGAAAACAAGTGTGCACTAGAGAGGGCGGCGACTCGGGCATAATAGAAAACCTAATAAGAGTTTGAAGGAAGACATTGTAAGAATAACAGGTGTTAATCAGCCAGCGCTTAGAACGAGTGTTTTGAAGGAAGTTTGGTTTGGCTGGGCCGTCTTATCTCCGCCGTCCACCCCTCGTAACAGGCCTGGGTAATTACACACCAGCATTCCTCAAACCCCTCTCTCTATCGCTCTCTGGCTGCTTTCCCCCATGCCTCGCTGCGATCCCAGAGCTACAATTACACCGCTATATCTTATTGCACATTAAAGCCCTGGAACGCATCCTCTCGCCGTTATATCAGACAACATCTCTTGTGTTTGCATTACATTAACTCTGCTCCAAACTATAATCCGTCGCCTATCTGGATACCTACTGCATGCACACTGCCAAAGATGTTGCAAATGGTTGGCAGCGACATTTTTACAATATATTAAAGTCACCATGAAATCAAAATGGACATATTTATTCCAAATGATTTATCGGTGCACATCATTATTGTGTTAAATTCATGTTGAATCGGAATAACTTCCCCTCACTCTTGCGGCGACAGTAGTTGGAGACAAGTGACTGTGTTTATTTGAATCATTCACTGAATTGATTCTTTCAGAAACACTGATTCATTCAGGAGAGAGTCATTGAATCATCCATTCAATGGATTTGTTCAAAAATGCTGATTCATTCAGGAACAAAACAAGTGACTTTCTTTATGAGTGTCACTGAATCATTCTCTCAACCAATTTGTAAAAACCGGCTTTTTCATTGATGTATTTATTTATTTTATTTGACTAAAGCATTATAATACCATAATATGTTTGCTGATATTTAGAAAAAGTTTCACATATTTATTTCTCTGAAAAACTGCTTCAACTTCGGCTCTTTTCTGTAGCATGTTCTCCATCTGGTAACCAGCGCGAGAGTCGAGTCTGAGGAGGAGAGCGGGAAAACAACTCTCTCCGATATGTTGAATTAGGACTGCAGTACCAATTTCAATAGCTAGCTTTCAATATTACAGCTTTAAGAAACAAAAGGCTTTTCTTAGAAACAACGGGTAATTCTGCTGTGACTTTGTTTGGAATTATTTTTGTTGGATCAAAAACACACATGAATAAATGAATGAAACCTTTATTTCCCCGAGGGGAATTTGTTTTGCACTTAAGGGAGCAAAGTTGACCATTAGCACAGAT